AGCTCAGGGCCGGTCTTCCTTAGCAAAAAAAGAGGAGGATTGGCATGGATGTTAGCTCAGGGCTGATCTTCCTCACAAAAAAAAAAAAAAAAAAAGGAAATAACATGTAAAGAGCTTAGCACAGGACCTGGCACAGAGTAAGCACTCCAGTATTTGTCAAATGACAGTAGTTAATACTGTCCACTAAAAAATCTTTTTTTGACGATAGCACTAAATCTATAAATTAATCAGAAAAATCTCACACAGAATGAGCATTAAATACCTATTAGTTGACATACTATCAATAAAGAAGTTACTCAAAAATTCACCAAGATAATTGCATTACACCTACAAATTGGAAGAATTCTATCTTCATACTGTTCAGTCTTCTCACCCCGGAATATGGTATTACTCTCGGTTTTTTTTCCCCCTCCCAAAAGCCCCAGTACATGGTTGTATATTCTAGGTTTTATGACTCAGGAATTTTACAAAAAGCTAGAAGCTAGAAACTGATTTTTGCCACTGTTCCACAAGTACTTGAAGAGGGGGAAATCACAAAGTTTTGGAAAACATGAAAAATCTTTACTCTCCTTGCAGATTCACAATGCATGTTATCCTTTAAACACAAAGTGGTCATAGTAACTCACACGGCTCTACTTAAGAACCACATGAATCACACTATAATTTCTGTAGTTCAGGGGCCAGCCCTGGCAGCCTAGTGATTAAGTTTGGCACACACTGCTTGGGCAGCCTGGGGTTCAGTTCCCAGGCGCAGATCCATACCATTCCTCTATCAGTGGCCGTGCTGTGACGGTGGCTCATGTACAGACTAGAGGAAGATTGGCAACAGATGTTAGCTCAGGGCCATTCTTCTGCAGCAAAAAACAAACTTCTGTAGTTCAGTTCATCGAATCAATTTTTAGATGCACTTATTTTATCTACTACTAGCAAAAGTTTGCTGACTTTAAATTTGATACTAAATTTACCATTTAAGATGAATCTCAATTTCAGAGATTTTTAAATATATTTTAAAAATCCATCTTAGAATTGTTGAAACAGTCAGAATTCAATTAGAGTAGGATAAAATATCTCTTCACTGTAACATAAAATACCTTGGTATAACCTTACCAAAACATGTTATGTATGATCAATCATCATTAATCATGGATTCTGTATTTGGGAAGTTACTTTCTTGCTAAAGTTTATTTTTAACTCCAAAACCAATACTCGTGGTGCTTTCACGGTCATGCATGGACATGCATAGAGAAACAAAAAAATCTGTCACCTGATGTGCATGTTCCCAGCTGAGGCTGAACAAAGCATCACTCTGTCTGATTTTAGCTCTCTTACTGCAAACAAATTTCCTTTTCATGGTCAATTTAGTGCCACACTAAAAAAATTTTTTAAATATTTTTGATGTTGTTTAAAATGGCCCCCAAGCCTATGTAGGCACAAGAAGGCTGTCATGTGCCTTTTAGAGAAAATACATGTGCTAGAAAAACTTTGTTCAGGCATGAGTTAATAGTGCTGCTGGTTGTGAATTCAAGGTAAATGATACAAAATATATTAAATAACCTGTTTTTAAACAAACACACATAAAACAAGGTTATGTATTGATCGGTTGATGAAAATGTTCTGACCAGAGGCTCACAGAAATTTAACCCTGTATTTTCCCTAAAAGCAGTGGTTCAATACGTCCTAATTCAGGGTTCAGAGCAACTTTATAGAACATGACCACAAATAACCAGATCTACTGTTATGTGACATGTAGAGCCTTTGCTATTCTTCTTTCATACAATGAATCTCATATTATATACTAACCCTACCCAAAATATATGAAATACATAAACAAAACTTTAAAACTTTACTGAGAGGGAAAGCTGGTTCAGATAAATGGAACACTACTATGTTCCCACACAGAAAATAGTAAATAATGCAAAATTTCTCCTTTTCAAAGTATAGCTCTTATTTTGTGGATCCACAAGAATTTTCACACTAAATAATGAAGACCAATATCAGACATACTTTTTTGTTGCTCCTTTAATTGCAATGTCTCTAGAAAATGTCTGCTATTAGTTTAAGATGGGCTTTCTTCATCATGTTAAGCAAGTATCTTCTAGTTTGGGTTTTCAGGAATGAGTGTGGTATGTCATTCTGACATCTATTATAGAAGATCACGTGAATTTTGTCTGCTGACTATATTAATACATTTCAAAATACTAAGCCATCCTTGCATAACACAATTATAATAGATTAAAACATGCTGTGAAATTTGACTAGTATTTCACCTACGGTTTTCTACTTAAACCCATAATAAATTCCTTAAAAAAAAAACTAGTGGGGGAGAGGGAAAACGGTAACGGGACACATTTGTACAGTGATGGATGGCAACCAGACTTTTGGTGGTGAACACGATGTAGTCTAATATAGAAGTTGAAATATAATGATGTCCACCTGAAATTTATATAATGTTATAAACCAACATTACCTCAATTAAAAAACAAACCAAATTTTACGAATATAACCTTAAGCTTTAAAAGATATCAGATGTGTGTGAAATGCAGCAGCACTAAGAGCCTATCTATATACTTTTTTTAGGAAAGAAGCATATTACAGTCGAGTCTGTTTTCTATTTGTACTGCAACGCTTCCATTATAGTTAATAATGGCAATCAGCTCAGACAGCTTTTTCTTCATGTAATTTCTTTTCACATAAAAATGAAATAATGACCTCTAGTGGAATAAACCCAATCTAGTACCCACTGTAGTTTAAAGATTTTATTTATTTATTTTTCCCCCAAAGCCCCAGTAGATAGTTGTCTGTCATAGCTGCACATCCTTCTAGTTGCTGTATGTGGGACGCGGCCTCAGCATGGCCGGAGGAGCGGTGCGCCTGTGCGCACCCGGGATCCGAACCCAGGCCGCCGGCAGCGGAGCGCACGCACTTAACTGCTAAGCCACGGGGCCGGCCCCCCACTGTAGTTTAGTATTACATTTAAACTATTACTAGACTGGTTTCACACTGCAAACATCTAGACGTTAAAACTCAAAAAATAAAACATAGTTAAAATCTTTTATGTTACATTGGCATTTGACTTAAAACCAAAATGAGCTGCCATATGCACTGCTTTTAAAACAGAGAAGATAAGATGAAATACTCATTAGCATCAGAGTACTCAATTTGCAATTACATATCAATATTTAACTCTACTTCCCTTTTAGCATATAAGCTCCATGAGGGCAGGAGTCAACTTATGTTTATTCACTCCTTGCACCAAGTCTTTTCCGTTTGTCCTCTTCAAATCTCCTCTCCACCTTGTTGCATTACTAGGCTGGCTCCTTTGCCTTCTGCTTGGGTTCCATTAATAGGAGCACCAAAGACCAGAGGATGAAAAGGATGAGACACACAGACACACACACATATGCTCTTTCTCTCTCAATTTATATAACCTTATAAGACCTAAACCTTTTTTTCCAATAACAATCTTTCTGCTTCTTATTTAAAAAACAAAACTCCACATGCATGATTAAATGAAAACACAGATTTAGTTCTCCCCTAATCCTCAAAGTTAGGTTTTTTCCTAATCATATAAACAAATGGTAGTAAACTTTACAAGGACTGTACACACCGAGAGGTATTTTTCTCTAAGCTTAATCAATTAAAACAACTTTTAAAAAATCCTTATTAATAACTGGAAAGAATCTAGTTTTGCTGTCAAACAAAATTAGTCTTCTTCCTTTTGTTCTTAAAAACTCCTCGTAAAAGTATTTGATAAAGGAGCCAATGACACGTACACTCCACATTAACAGGTTTCAACACTGCTCACAACTGATGATCTAGTGAATGTTATCTGCAGTTTCAACTCAAGAGAATGTAAAACTATATTCTATTGAGAACTTAAAAAATGAAACAAAACCAAAAAAACGTTAACAATGACAAAAAAATCAATGACTCCTGAATTACAAGATGACTATCATCTCTTACTAAGTATCTAAGTCTCCATACTAAGTTTCTAAGTCTTCCTGAGCAAAACTCAGGAAAGGAGAACCAATTCTACACCCCATTCCATAGGACTTTAGTTCCTGAGTACCAAAAAGAATTTATTATTTCACTTGTAGTTAAGCTCCACAGAACGGAGTCAAAGTAAAACAAAATGCATACTCAGTGCATGTGAAGTAAAAAGGTGTCTATTCTATATATATTCATAAAAGAAATATTTTAGTTTAAAAAATTGAAAGTCTGATCTAAGAATGGAATTATTCTGGGACTGCCTAGTAGTAATGCTTAGATCTTACTGAGCTAGTATGATGAATATATATGAACTATTAAAACTTAACTTGATATAGTCAACAGACAACTGTCCTACATTTATGTTTATTAAAAACTGACATAAACAAACAAAACCTGTACAAAAAAGATGCCAAATCACATATCACTTTGAAACAGTAATCCTGAGAGACATTATCGCCTAGGACCCCCTCTTCCTCTGCCCCGGCCACGTCCTCTTCCTCTTCCTCGGCCTCGGCCTCTTCCTGCAACTGAGGGAAGAAAAAAACAAAGTAAGGTAAATTCTCTTCTGGGCTGATGTTACCTGGCCACCACAAAACAGCATCTATAGTGAAGAAAACCTTAACTCTGCTTCTCTTAAAGGTAACCTCAGAGTCACCCCTCCCAACACATTATCATGCAGAACCAAGAACTGTTGGCCTACAAAGATACTTTTTTTGTTTCGTTTGAACTTATTTACTGAGAAATTCATCAAGTTTAAAAACATTCTTTGTTTGTATCATGTGTCAAACTCACCACAAAATGAAATGCAAATGATCTGAACCTCACACAAGGTGGAAGAGATAATCATATTAATGGAATAGAACATGAACACCATGTGCCAGATTTTTCGTTACTGAATAGAATCCAACCAAGCAAGAGCCAAGAAAGTTTAAAATATATTACATCCAATAACAACCTCATGACTCTTCAGAATCTTAAATCATTTGATCCAATCATAACCTAGTACTACTCTAATCCATATGGAAATATCCCTGTCACCTAGTCATCCAAACTCTACCTGAATATCACAGTGATGGAAACTCATCTCCCAAATGAACTTATTTCATCTTCAGACAGATATGAATATTAAAAAATCCTGACATGGAGTTCAAGTCAGTCACAACCTAAATTTCTACCTACTGTTTATAGTCTACCACTCAAAGCAATAAAGAATAAGTCTAGGACTTCTGTTAAAACAAGGCAGATTAACCACACACATCCAATTCCTTCTGAAATACTACTCATAATAGAAAAGGGATAAAGATGATAAACACCTATAAGCAGCAAAAAAAAAAGCAGAGAAAACACAGTGGTTGAAAGATTTCAACAAACTTTTAAGCCAGAAAGTAGATGGAGAACTGTAAATGTTTAGTAAAAGGAAGACCAACTCCCAAAAGATCTAGGACCATGGAAGCCAGGGGTAAGATGATGAGGCACGGGGCTGAAAACAGAAAAAAAAGGTTTGACAATCCTTATGTGGAGCAGTAGACTGGCCAGGCCTCTTCCCCATCTTGCAAAACTAATGATTATATCCCCAACAGGTAGGTAAGAGAGGAAAGGTAAAATAAACCTACAGATATTGAGGCAAAAAGGCTTCATATTTGAAAACACTTGCAAAGTAAACAGCAGCAAAAGGCACAGAGCTAAGGCGAAGGGAGAGGGGGATTAAGTCGGTGTTTCTCAAGCTATGGGTTGCAACCCGAAATTTTTTTTAACTGAAAGAGATTAGGATAAAAAACTTAAGGGCATTTGCATGAATTAAGACTAAGTGATTCCTCCTAAGACTTTTGTTACAGTTATATGTATGAGTGGGTCACGATGCAAAGTATATTTCTTAGTGTGGCTGGAAGGGAGAAACAAGTCTCAAAATCGTGGTATTACATAAACATCTACCCAGCTCTTTTCTCCTGCCCTGCTCCTATAATGCTGGCTGCCAGACATAAGTCTCCCACAGTAGGCAAATGGAATCTTTTTTTTTTTTTTGTGAGGAAGA